AAGGAGGTTTGCAGGAAAATAAGACGTGTTCCTACACCCCTGGGAAAGCGCACTTCCCAATTTACGTGGCAGCCTCAGGCAAATCAGTTCCCCCCACCCCGCCAGAGCCTCAGGTTTTCAACTCACGATCGCTGGAGTCATAGGACAGATACTCAGCAGAGAAGCCAGTGTCTGTGTAGGACAGGTCTGAGTGGAACTGGACCTCTATTTTGTTGGTGGTACTGGCGACAACAAACTGGGAACGCTCCCCACAGTACCTGCGGGGATAGAGAGCAAAGATGAACGAAGCGGCGTAGGTCAGCAGTGGGCAGCCCTCCTTCCACCCCCGACCTCCCCGTCGGCACAACGGGTCACCTCGCACACCCGGAGCTACGAGGGCAGGAGAAGGGACAGCGGGTCTGATTCCAGCCAGACCTCAAGGTCTGCACACAGGAGATGAATTTTGCCGCCTTAGTGTTGCAAACACCAAGTTGTGACCTTGGAAATGATTGGGAGCGAGATCATCCAAATCCCTGCCCAACAGAGCGATGTGTCTGAGCTCAGACCCACGTGTCTCTGGAGTTGTGCAGGATCCCATCCCACCACAGCCTGGCAGGAATCACTGGCGCGAGCAGCGCTGCAGCAACCAGCCAGGGCCACAGATGCAGGTCCTGACTTTGAAACCCTCTCTCTTTGAGGAAGGGTCAGCTCCCTTGCCCAAAATGTTGTGAAACAACACTGCTCGTTTTCCCTATGCAGTACCAAGTTGTCTTTTTGGCCCAGCTTACACCAGGTTGTGTAATAGCAAACAGTAAATCTAACGGCAAATGCATCACAGAACGCGATGCAATTACCCCACCGATGGGGATTTGCTCTTTCACGCGAAACCAGGCCAGATGTTTCTGCCTCTCTGCACGCGAGGCATATGACGTGATGCTCCACAGCGTTTGGGGGGGGACTCGGCTACAGCGTGGGGCAAACCCAGGGTCAAATCCTCAGAACCAAGCGCGCGGCTCCCCTCTGCCCACGGGGGCATTGAGCTATGAGAGCAGGTCAGAGCCGAGCCCCCTCCTGCCCCGTCCCGTCCCAAAGAGCACCAGCATACATGTTCCCACAGCAAGTTTGAGGGAAACACGAGGTGCCGTATGACTACGGCCCACTCGAAGGGCCAAAGCCGCGGGTCGGAGAGCACCCGACACCTACCTCGTGCTGTTGATCTGCACATAGTCCTTGGTGCAGGAGCTGACCGGGATCCCGGGCTCCAGCACGAAGAACATGTTGAAACGCACCTTCACGTTCTTTTTAGAGGGAACCTGCAAAAGGAAGTGGAGTCAGCGGTACGTTGTTTTCTGGAGCAGAGAAAATGGGATTAAGTTTCATGGGGAAAGGGCTTGGGGGGGACGACAGAAGAGAACTGAGAAAAGAAAGAAATCCAGTAGAAAAAGAAACACCTTCCTGAAAAGCCACTATGGCTCACACGCCCTTTAGACAGTCGCTTGGCTTCCTGACCCCAGGATCCCAGATCAAACAAGCATGCAGAGGGGGGGTCGAAGCCAGACCTCTGCCAGCAGAGCCTGCTCTCCCAGGGCAGAAGGTTCCCCCCGACCAGTTTTGCCAGCAAGTGACCGGCCTGTCCCAAAGCCCACGCGCTCTAGTGCTTTTTGGGTAAAGCTACAGTCGTTGGGGGCTACGGTAAGCGTCACGCAGGGTTCGGGCCCCTCGCAGCCTCTCCTGCCTTCGGCACCAGCTCCTAAAGCCTCTCTCCAGCCGTGCCAGACTCTGAGCAGCCTCTAGGCAGCATCTGCTGCGAGCTCACTTGCACGGTGTCCTGCGTGAGCAAGTTCATTTGCCAGACCAGTTAAGGCAAAGAGAGGAACCCCATCTTACTTCTATCTTCCAGACACAGTCCATGGCCGGGGGGTAGTGTGCCGGGTAATAGGGAGTCGTGAAGGTGCCGCTCTCTCCTTTCAGAGTCCCACCACAGACTAGGAGATAAGCAGGAAGATGAAAACGGGTTAGAGATTCAAAGAGACGTGGTTTTGCCAAGCCTCAGCTAGCTATCGCCCGAGGCAGGAAAGGAGGCAGACGCAACAGTCTCTAACAAGGTTAAGTCGATGTCTGGAGAGAGCGGCTCTGCTCCAAAGCTTGGAGAGAACCCAGAAGATCAATTAGGTGCTTCCTGCATCCATCAATCTGCACGTCTCATCCAACATCATTCTTACTTTGCCCATCTCAGGGGACATCATTACAGCAGCCAAGAGCACCGTGGGCAAGGCAAGCTCCAAGATGTGACCCACTCCCAGATCTCCTGGTCCTGGCAACATCCCCAGCAAACTGAGCCCAGCCACAGCTGCGCCTCCCTCTTGGGTCGCCTGCGGCAAGGAGAGGTGATGGGGGAAACTGGGCCAAGGCCTCTGCTCACCTTTCGTCTTCGGGAGCTGGAAGAACTCAGCCTTAAAGCCAGGGAATCTCCCCTCCTTGTTGGTAACCAACGTGACGAGCATGACATTCTGGGAGGACAGGAAGGTCAGGTTGTAGGAAGGGGCGTAATTCCCACAGAGCCTAGGAAGTAAAGGACAAAATCCGTTAGAGACAACTGCGTAGAGAGCCTCAAGCAGCACAGATCACCTCTGAGCAGGGAGAGCAGCTCAGTTACCAGCAGGACTTCTCGGTGTCACCTCACGCCAGGACTTGGTGACGTACAGGAACCCAATGGGGACACTCACCTGACCAAAGCGTGGGGCTCCACGGGGCTCAGAGAGTTGTACACCTTGATGTAGTCACCGTTATCCGTGCACTGCTCCAGTTCCAGTGTCTTGAAGGTCAGGCTGATGATGGAATTGGCGTCCGCCCTCAGCGTCCAGTAGCAGAGCGCGTTGTTGGGGTACGGGCTGTTGGGAAAGCCCGGCGTGGTGAAACTGGTGATCTCTCCTTCCTTGGCGTGGAGGGCAAACACACAGCTATCTGCCCGGGAGCGCAGGGAAGAGTTAACAAGGCAAACGAGGCGGTTCTGCCCTGCATTTCCCCAGATGCAGAGTGCAGCACTGGTAATTCCTCCCCTGCCTGGAGGTTGTCTCGAGGCAGAAGCCTCTTGCAGGGAGCACCCTTGCTTCCCACCTCCACCTCCAAAGTAAGGCACTGGGGCAGGGCAGCCAGGGCCACGCAGCACTGTGCCGCAGTCCGGCCGACCCCAGGCCAGCTCCAAGCAGCGCACAGAGGTCTGCCTCAGGCCCTTCCCCACCCCGCGAGGGAAACCGCCACCCCAAAGAGGTCTGGGGATGCACAGAGGCTGTTATGAGACTAAAAAGAACTGTACTTACTGTCCCGAGCGGAGTAAGCTATGCTGGGGTCGGCAGCTGCAGGAGAAAACAGAAGCGGTGTCACCCTTCGGGCTGCGCAAAGCTGAAGTGGTCCCTGGGACCCGCAGGAGCTTTTCCTCCGCAGGAGGGAGGATTCATCCCTGTCCCTCTCCAGATGGGCTCAGAGGAGAACACGGGGCGTTCGAGCGAAGGGTAGGGGTCCACGCAGCCTCCCCCACGCTGCACGGCCCATGACAGCAGCGCCGTGAAAGCCGGGTCCTTACACTCACCCTTAGAGCAGTCCCCGCTGCCGAAGGCACCCAAGGGAGGGCTGTGACCGGCAGCTTACCCCTCCAGAGAAATGTCCCCCCCCTGCAGTCCCAAGCAGAGGCCCAGGGACAGCGGAGCCAACACTCACGGAAAGCGATGACCGACTCCACTTTCAGCACGGGGTTTCGCAGGCGGGGGTTCAACCTCTGGACCAGGCTCTGCTTGTCTGCCATCGCCCTGTCCAGACTCTGCTCCCGGTACTTGGGGACAAGGAACTCGGACCAGTAGTAGGCAATGACGCTGCCTTCACTGCAGGGAAAGGGCAATTATAGGGTGAGAGCAAGGACAGAGACAGGGGGCTCAGGCGTCAGTAGAAGAAGGGGCCAGGCTACTTGACATCCCAGCCTCGCCCTCCTCCACCCCCAGATGGGACTCAGACAGTACCTAACACTCACCTGAACGCAGTTATCACTGTCTCTTTGTGGTAAGGGCCGATATCTGCATGATTCCTGTAGATGTCCTCCACCTGAAAGGTTTAAAGAAAGTTCAGCAAGTCTAGAAGTGAGGAGCAGGGAAAGGCTAAAGACAGACAGCTTCAAGCCTGCTACGGAAAATCAGAGCACGTACCCGGCATCCCTGGCTGCAGGAATCTGCAGGGGCCAGAGAGAGGAAGAGGGAGAGCTGAGAGTCCCAGAAGTGCCCAGACCTGCACACCACAGCCTGCTCTGCCTCACCTCGCCCTGCTCTTCCCCGAATACCTGAGTCTGAGGGGAAAGGCAAGACCAGCCACAGCTTCAGCACAGAGGGCAGACACCCTCCAGCCTCAGCTCCCAGCCCCAACTCGTGCACCGACCCTGGGATTTGCCCAGGCAGCCTCCTACGGCACAGGCTGGGTTGCAGAGGCAGGGAGACGCCGCGGCAGTGGGCTGGAGCTGCGATGCCAAGACCCAGCTTAAAGGCAGGCTCCCTGCACCCAGCCCAGCATGTCACGGTGAGTGGGGAGAGCTGAGAGGAGCGAGAAAGCTCCAAGCAGTCTTACATTGCAAGATCCCCGTGGCCACGGGGCAAGAGGCACAAGAGGAGGGATGCAAGAAACCTCTTACCGTGTTCTTCACCTTCTTGGCCAACATGATGAACTCCGGGGAGCTGGAGTTCTCGTAAGCATCAAGGAAATTCCAGTTCAGAACTCGCAAGTGGCCATTGAAAACCTTCTGAACGGCCGCGTTCCTGTCTGGAAAGCAAAAGTAGAGAGTCAGAAAGGGCAGTCAGAGCTGGGACTGTGGCACAGCAGGTCCCCAGGGACAGTAAGCAGGGCAGGGAGGTGGAAATGGGGTCCCCCCGCTTCCTGGAGCCTTTCCAGAGAGGGCACATCTGAGCAACAGCGGATAATGAAGCTTTTCCATGTGGATATGTTCCCAGGGTATCACTCTTCATGCCACCACCCACCAGATGTCATACTTACATTTGAAGTGCCAAACCAGGAGGCCGGTGACCAGGGAGATGAGCAGGAAAACCACGATCACGACGGTGACAACCACCCACCGCTTTGGGCCACGCTTCTCCATCTTCTTGGAGTTCATGGCAGGGAGGAACTCCACCCCTTCCTCCAGGTTGTTCATGTCCTAGGAGAGGAGAGAAGGCCAGATGGTGGAAAAGCTATTCCCAAAGCCTGGTTTGAAGAGGTCCAACCACGAAGCAGTCTAGAGCAGAACTACCTGTCCGTGGCAGCTCTCCAACACTGAGAGCCCAAGGCATCCACAGCCACCCCATGCAGGACAGACTCTGAAGGCTTTTGCTTTGCTTTTCTGCACACCCCTAAATTCCTTTTTGGACCTAATACGTGGTGATCACAGCTCAAGTAAACTCAGGGGTGAATCTGCACACCCCGCCATGACCATGGTAGGACACAAGCCCACGACCTCAGAGATCTCCGCACGCCGACAGATGATGCTGCAAACAAAAGTTCACCCCTGCAAAGCGCTCGCTGTGCGACAGGTGTGTCACCCACAGCTCGTGGGGCACAGCACGCTATAAATAGCATTCCTGTAAAAGAAGAAACCGAGTTACTTCCTTCCCTTTACATTCGCACAACTCTGTACATCTCCTGAGCCAACGCAGCGCTCTTGTATTTCTGCTCAGGATTTCCCATTCGGCGCAATTACCAACTCAAAGAAATAAACCAAAAAACTAAGATGAACACATGAGACATCCCCATGACCAGCCAGACTCTCAGGACAAGACGCAGCCGCCCAGGAACGAGGAATGACAGCCGTAACACACAGCTCTCACCGCTATCGCTGGGCAGGGTGATGAAGAGGAAGGTCTCTGTTGCCCTGCAGCAGCTGCGAAACCCTCGGTGCCCCGGGGTTTCACTTTCTCGTGCCTTTGGCTTACCAGTCCTCCATCCCTGCCCTACTCGCGTACCTGCACCTCCAGCCTGGGGTGGGCATCAGAACAGCTGCAGATCCAGATGTTTTCAGAGGATGCCACACAGCCCAGAGCATCCTCAGGACAGACAGACGTCGGGAGCTCGGATCCACAGCCGCTACCCCAGCGCTTCCTCTCCTCCCCAGAGCTGGCTAACACGCACTGGGAGAGCAGACCACATCTTCTGCTTTCTTCTTGTGCCTCCCCTCAGGTAGGGAGGGCTCTCTGCCTGCTGCAAACTGCCCAAACCACGAGGACGCCTTGCCTGTCCAGGCTCCACCCTCCCATTTTCCCCTCTCTCAAGCCTTACTGGGCACCCGGCATCCTCCTGGGCAGCGACACGGGGCTCCGGATGACAGCAAGGATGTCACAATGCAAAGTACCGACTAGCACAAATTCACTGCATTCAAATGCATTCCTGTGCTCCGGAAGGGGTAACGTGGTCCCCGGGGTCAGAGGCTGCCTGCTAACGGCTCACGATAATTTGATGCAAATGTCACAAAAGCCCCTAAAAGTCAGGAAAATAAAAAGCAAAGGGCATCCTGTCGAGCGAGGGACCTCTGAGCCCCCCGTGCTCCCGTGCAGACCCAGGTTGCTCCTATCACCAACATCCAGCCACCACCAGAAGAAAGAAAAGACCTGGCAGGGCCACAGAGGACAATCCCACGGGGGATGCTCTGATCCCCGTTGGGTTTCCATGATCATACAGGAAAAAATTGAAAACGTAACCCAAGGAAACTTCAAAACAGACAACGCATTAAATAAAGCTTAAATACATACAGACATCCTAAATCAAGACACTCTTCAAGCAAAGTCAAGGCTGCCTGGAGTTTGATGCACTGTCTTTGAAACAGCTGTCGGACTCCCATCAGTTTCCAAATCACGCAAGAAATCCCCCCAAACCAGGTAAAGAGAAGAAACCGGCCACAAATCTTGCAAGCATCTCCCTTCTCCCACTATCAGGCTGCTTGCAGCACCGAGCCTTCCCAGGACTTCCAGTACATTCCTGATGTTAACAGAAAGAAAAATGCTTAATTCTCTTTTCATATCTTCAGGAACCTGTGGCAAGAAAACAACCTCAGGGGCTTAAACGCTCACACAGCAGCAGCTTTCCCAGACTTCCTGGGGTCAGCGAGGAAGAACCGCCTGCCCCATGTTCGTAGGGGGAAGACAGCATCCCTATGTGTTCCGAGTAACAATTTTTGGGCACAAGCTGTTAAATCTTGGCCTTAATAACACGCTCCCCTAGCAGGCTGAATTCAACTAGACGGCATTTCCATCCTGAAAGGATTGCACATTTCTTGCACGAGAGGTGAAACATTACAGGGGATAGCAGCAGCAAAACGACACAAGGAAATAAGGTCTCCTCTGGCTACAGGGAGAGCAAAGAAAACCCTGTTTTCAAATAGTATACCCTCCTGCAAAATTCCCAAGACACAGCTTCATCAAACTGCCAGAAAAAAAATGGGGCTCGGCTGCAAGCAGGAGATACTGCTGTACAAGGCCAGGCTGCACAACACTCTGGCTGATGCATTTTAACATCCTCTTCAAGCTAAAGGTGGTGTCTTTCCAGAGAGAAAGCTCTTCAGACGGGAACAACTAATCAGTGCGACTGAATCAGAAGGAAAACACAGCTCCTCTCCGCCTCCGACACATACAAACGCGCGCACCGCTCCTGCGGCTGCAGCGTGACCAAAGGAAGTTAGGCAAGAAAGCTCACCATCTGAACTTTCTTTGGACAATTTCTCTGCTTTTCTTGGAAGAAAAAGAAAAAAAAGATGCAAGATCTTAAACCTGCCAGAGTTTACAGCACGCCTCTGTCAGTGTGTTCACTCACAGCACCAAGAGAAATTAAAGGCGTGTGGGGCCTCCTGGGGATGTTATTTTTGTTATTACTATACGCAGAAGTTACCCAGTGACTAGAGGCAGATGGGATCCAAAGAGGTTTCCCTTCTTGCCCTCTGTTTTATATTCCAGATCTCATCTTCCCCCATTCTCACACCTTACATACATCATTATATTCCCCAGCCGACTCTGAGGCGTGCGTGAAGCTGCTTCGAAGAGCTGTCGCGCGTCGCGGCCTGGGTAAGCGACGGTGATTCCTGCAAACTCTCTTCTTGACACAAGGCAAAGGATCTCAAGCATCCCCCGAGCACTACGTGAACGCTGAATCGGGTCGTGCCGGGAAGGTTTCAGACGAGGCCCCACGTCCTGACACCTGATAAAAGGCTGAATCTTCCCTGCCCACACTCAGCACGAAAAGCGCCCGTTTGAGCTTAGTCCCAGACCTAAACAGCATAGCTCAGCCTCACTCACTGCGCTGCACATCCTCTTCGCTGCCACCGCTCCAGCCGTGCTGGTGACCATCCTCTAAGCCACGCAGAAACCAGATGGAATCAAAAGCAAGACAAGCTCAAAAGATCATAGTTAAATCAAGCAAAAGACAACTATAATTTTCATCTCCTTTAGCTAACGGGTGCTGCACGTTTCCTTCGCGTGTCCTGAACAGTCCATCGCAAGAGCCGATGTAAACCAGAGAGGATCTGAATGCACATCCCGCTCTCACCTCGTCCATGATTCCCCAGGAAAGAGTCTCTAGCCCAAACTGACTCAAGGTCTGACTCTCTCGCCCTTCTCGAGGAAACTACTCCAATAAACATCATTAACAGAAAACCTTCCTTGATATTCTCTCCACTTTAGTCACAGGTTCAGTTACTTCCTCTTGCTCCTCCTCGCTGAGCAATCACTGTCACCGTCACCACGGGGCTCCCCACGGCAGGATTGAAGGTTTTTGATCACGGTGTCAGCCCGGCCACACGGTGCCCTGGCAGGAGAGCCACATGCCAATCAAGTGAAAGGGTCAAAAAGACGTTGCTCCATTTCTTCCACACCTCGGTTTGCCCTGGAGTACAGTCTCCACGAGGAATCTTGGAAAAGGAGAGCGTACAGATAGATTTATACAGCGCTTGGAGGTCTCCTGCACGCAACTCCTCCTTGCAGAGAGCCCAGAGGGAAGTCCTGTGCATAAACAAACCTTCCCACTTCCCCTCCGCAAGCCAGCCCCACGATGTATTTTCAGACAGCAACCGCGCTCTGCCAGACTGGACAAACCAGACGAAGAAGTGACTAATTCTGTCAGCAGAAAATTCGGCAGGCACACGGGGACGGTGGGAACTGCCACAGTCAATGCTGGGCTGGAGACACTTACCAGAAAGTAGAGATATCCTCCTGCAAAGGGGGAGGGCAGAAAGGCTAGGACACAGCTCTCCAGAAAGAAGATATCTGGGATGCGTACAAATCACGGGTCCATCTGGGATCGGCATCTCCCATAGGGGATGTTTTCTGGCTTGTTTGGTGGTTCCAGCAAGACACCTTGATGTGCCCCAGGCACCAAAGGCCCTCACTGCTCCCCTCTCCTCCAAAATACATGCTTCATCTCTCACTCCATGTCTGCATCTGGTTCACTGGACCCTGACCCACCGAAGGACAGGGCTCCTGGCCATTAGACCTGTCCCTTATCACCAGCAGTTAATTTGTTTGTCCAGCACAAGGCAGCTATGAAATAGAGCTGCTTCCCTTGACCTTCAACACATTCCAGCCTCAGCTGTTCTGCCACAGGACTGCTCAGAGCCAAAGCTGCACAGATGGAAGAAGGGAAGAGTAGGTGTGCAACCGAGGCAGTCTGGCTGCAAAAGACCCGCTGCCTGGCACTAATGTACACAGCCAAGAAAAGGAACCCGTAAAATACAAACGTGGAGGTGGCCTGGGGGGGGTCTCAGATGAAGCAGAGTCATCGGACTACGTGGTTAGACACTTGCCGGGTTAATTACACCCTGCAGATCCCAGCTCGTGTATCCAAGAGGCAATCCCCACCTCCCCTTTTCCAGCCGCACCTGCCTTGGGTAGTGTTCAATAAAACAAATATCACATGAGAAACGAGAGGAACAAAACCCGTTGATTCACTAACCAGCTCAGGACACTGCCATCGAGCCAGGCTCAGAGCTTGGGACACCCCAGCTTGGAGATCCATGGGGTGGGCTTGTGCAGTGCAGATACGGCCAAGAAAGTTGTATTTTCAAAACCTGAGGTTTCCCAGATCACACCGAAAGCTAACACCAGCTTTGCGGTGCTGGCACAAGGGGAAACAGCCTGTTTCCCATAAGAAAAAAACCCCAAAAGATATAAAAACTGC